TTTAGCTTTCAATTGTCCAGCATAAGAATGAAGAAATCCTATACAAATCAGGTGATGTGAAAGAATAACCTTTTCTGAAGCCATGTAAATGCACAAGTAGGGATTGTAGTATGAGCTCCATGTTGCTAGATGAGTATTGATTCTTCTGCTTAAGTAATACAAATTCTTTAAAGTCAAGCTAAAAAATATATTGCGGTCCTGCCACTATGGATTGCTATGTCGTATATCTTACAATAAGAGTAGCATTTTCTAATGGGGTTTACAAAACTAAACTGCTGTAAATTTATAAGAAAAAAAAAATCTTCTCTGACTATTTCCAATAAGTAACCATTTTCAATGCAACAGTGGCATTTACTTTGGAGAAATCAGTGATAATAAATGACAGCAAATTCAGGACACTGTAGTGTTTGAGGCACTGTCTTTTTATGTAGTTTGCTAAAACTAAAATCATATTTGTCCAAATATTATTAGACTTGATGCTAACCAATTGTAAACATTCACAACACAAGCTATAGTTTATGAAATTACTGAAGTTTTAAGACAGTTGCTAAACTAAACCACAGCCATAAATTTCCTTTTAATTTTGATATCTTTTAGATTAAGTAGTCTAAAAGGTGAAGGTATAATTTAATTCGATAAAAAGATGACTGCCAGGGTGAAAATTTTCTCTTTTTTTAGGAATGGATTTTGAGAAACATCCCCGGGACTGGTCTGAGCTTTGAGTAGCAGTAAATAAAATATACCATAGAGTAGGAAAGTTTGTACAATAGGCCAATAGATATGGATGCAGTTTTACTTCAGTGTTCTGAGTCTGTTCCTTCCCTTCTGAAATACAGAAATACAGTAAGAGTTTTTCCTTTGGCTTTTATAGTTTTGTCTCGATTATGAAAATGTGATTGAATTTCGCTCAAGTTTAGTTAAAATTAACTTGTCCTGTCTGAACTGAAATTTGACCTTTTTGTCTAGAGTTGTTGTAGTTTGACAACTTATATAAATACATCAATGTACAAACGTGGTCTTTTGCAGAAACCTTTGAGCTTTCCTTGATGACATTCTGTGCTGGCTTGCTGGCTGCCATCCAGCTGTTAGCCAGCCATGGCGTGTGTTAGCCACAGAGCATGGAACCCTGAGCAGGGTTTTACAGGTCAGGCTTGGCAGTGTGCTACTGTTTTACAACTTGGTACAAGTGTAGTGTGCACAAACCATGCTCTTTGCAGAGATGTTGACCACAGAGTGTGTAAGATACTAGTCACTCAGGCTTTGAAATGCAGTTCACTAAACTGCCTTCAGGTTTTTCAAAATCCTTTAGGGCTATATCAATGTCTATTTTAGAGATTCTAAAAGCAGCCTGTTCCACAAAATGGTTCTTGGCAGTGCTAAAACCAGTGTATGGTTGAATAAGAAGAAAACACCGAGTCAGAAGAATGTGCTTACAACAGGCACCGTAGAATCATCTGGGCACCTTCTGGTTAACATAAATGTGAACTTCAGATAAGTGGAACTAAATTTCATTAGCAGTTTATAATTCATTGTATCTAAAATTGTAAAAGTTTCCCTAACAAACAATACCAATAATTTATTTGCAAAAGGGAATGCTGCTCTTCAAGTTTTACATTTGTGGGTTGGGATTAAAATAGATGAAGTGCTGGCAGGTTTTGCTTATTTTCCTGGAAATAAAATTCCTTTTTTTATACTAAGGGACAAACATAGATAATCTTCCCCCTTACGATCATAGTGATACCAGTGTTAAAATCTGTAGCAATCAGAGTCTCAGCAGTATTTAATTTCCAAACAAGCTGAAAGTACGTGGCAGATCTGAGATAGCAGTAATGATGTAATCGGAGAAGAGAAACCTCTCTCTCCTCCTGTGTGAGGCAGAAAGATGAGTGTTTAATATGACAGCATATGACAGAATCTAAGCTGTCACTAATCTGATATCTGTATTGTCTAATAAATAAAATTGATACAGACAAAATTTTACTTTTATCTTTCATTTTCAGAGCGTGGTTACAATTATGTTTTCACAACAGTGAGCGAGGATTGAATTTACAACTTTCATCATCATATTCCTTTTAAATGGCAAATCATTATATGGAGGGGAAAAAAAAACCAACCACAAACCAAAAAAGCACAATATTGTCATTTATTCAAAAAGTTACTGCTGGTTTATGCTCAGCATTGTCATTTACTTATTCAAACACTTGTCTGTTTTGAAAACAGTCTTTAGACTCTGTAGCAGTGCTTTGAAAAGGAAAAATCATAAGAGTAAGATTATGGCAGTTTTAACTTCATTAGTCCTGACTCTGATTATTTGCTTTTAAAGCATATGTCCATAACAATATAGTCTCCTGATGTATTTAAAAACAGCAATAGCAGCTTAGCTTTCAAGTATTTAGTGTATTGAAACCACCACATGAAAAACTATGACTCTCTGAGATTAAGTCTTCTTTTTAAAAGTTAGGAATATTTTTATTAATATTGTCTGTGCAAACTGCTTTGTTGCCAGGAAGCTCTTTAGGCAAAAAGGCTGGGAATTAAAACTCTGGTCCAAGCAATCATCCTTGTTTAGAAATGGTGCAAAAGCATATTCTTGAATAATTCAGTT